AAAAATAGACCACGAACGTTCAGATCAAAAGATAATTAAAGTCTTCGATTATTGTTTTGTCCCAAGGGTTTTGCTTAGTTACACGCCCAGCATTGTTGATAAGAATATGAATCGTAGGTCCGAATGCCTTTTATAGTGGTGTCAACAATAAATTTAGGACTGCCAACATTGCTTAAATCTGCTTGAATCTTAATTGCATCTGCCGAAGTTCTAAAGCCTTTAATCTTCTTAACCAACTGCTCTGTCGCTTCAACACTACTATCTGAAGTAAACGTAAGGGCTACTTGGCGCCTCGAAGAGCTAGCGCTTCAGCTATAGCTGCTCCAATTCCTCTTGAAGCTCCGGTGACGATTGCTACTTTGTTTTGAAGGGGCAAATTGGTTTCTGTCATGTTCACAAGTTCGTAATTTACACTAAAAGGAGTGTTTGCTCAAGTATTTATATGGATGTCATTCCAAGTTGGCTTCGTCATCATAAATTTCAAGTTACTAATCAATTCCTTACTTGCATAGGTTTTTTCCTGTTTTTTTTTGGTGAAAGTAACAAGGTAACGAATGACTAAAAATAAATATTTACTTCCTTAGCGACGTAATTTTAAGTTATGTGGATGACTAATATTAAATAAAATTAGCCGATTTGGCACTGTATGAATACTCTGATCAGAATATGCTTCCATATCTTAGTCGGTCTTTGCAAAGGGTAAATGTAATTCTACAAGGAATTGCGAAGATTGTAGACTGCTGAATCAGAAGACAGTTGGTTGAGCTTTGATTACAAAGTTTACACAGTCAACAATCAGAACGTATTCATCATGACTAAAATTTGTAATAAAGAAAAAAAATGTTCTCAAAACAATATTCATACATGCGTGGAAGCAGACTGTTTTGTCGCAATGATTACAAACCCTGCAAACCTGTTCACACAGATCCAATGATTGGGGTGAATGCTTTTTATTTAACTCTTTATTACTCTCAAAAGAAAAAAAAAGATGCACTCTAAAAAATAGCTTGAACGGTGGCCATGACGTTTCCTTCGTACATATCTTGTCATCATTAAGGATTCATTGTAAACATTTAATTTCACAAACATCGTATGTTTTAATCTTCTTCATTCCTTTCTTTGCAAATAAATGCCTCGATTATGAATATTGAGTTGAGAAGAAACCAACCATAAATTACAGTTACCAAGTTTCGTAATCTTTATTAGATCCTTCAAATAATAAAAACACGTACAGGATAATTAATGAGAGGAATTCCGATAGTAAATCTTCGTAAAATGACTTTATGGTCGGTCACGAACTCCATGGAGATATACATTAGAACTTAGAGCTATAACTTGGTGAATAAAATTAGTCGACCACGTAAATCTAAAAAAAATATGCTTTTTGATTCAGGGACCATACGTACATTCATTACTCCTTGCCATAACAGATTTTTTTCAATACCCCTTTGACAACTAAGAAATCCTAAAATACGAAAGGAAATCGAAGACTTTGATTATTTCTTCAAGTATTTTATTATGACAAAAAGAGCCTTTGGCTTCCTTAATGTAACTCAGAATCGTACTTGTATACAATCTCGCCTCGTACAAAGAGAAACTTTCATCTATCATAAGGATTTGAGTCGAATGCTTTTACTAATTTCTTTTTAGTAAAATTAAATGTCATAAATCATATAAAAAAATAATCATAATTTATTCTAGAACGCGTAATTAATATGAGAACGATAATTGCTGCGCAAGAAATTCTTATGATTATTTCCTCATTAAATTTCCCCAATCAATTAATACATAGCCAATCCACCAGAAGCCGAAATCACCTGTCCAGTGATCCACCGACTTCTATCTTCAGCAAGAAAAGCGACGATTTCAGCAATGTCAGAAGGTAATCCAATGCGATTTTCAAATGGAGTCGTTTTTTTTGCAAACTGAATTATTTCATCCGAAAGTACCCCCTTTAACATATCGGTATCAACAGCTCCTGGATTGATTTGATTTACGGTATGGCTATGAGGGCCTAATTCGGCTGCCCAACATCTAGTAAAACCTTCGATTGCTGCTTTGCTTGCACAATAAACAGGTTGCTGAAGAAATCCCAACCTTCCAGCAACACTTCCAAAATTTATGATCCTTCCTCCATTTTCTTTTTCTTTTTTGGGAAGGTGAGGCACTATCGCTTCTGTCATAAAAAAGACACCACGAACATTTACATCAAACATACTGTTATAATCTTCCATAGTTATTGTTCCTATAGGTTTTAATGGACCTGCGTACCCTGCATTGTTAACAAGGATATGGATCGTGGAACCAAAAGCTTGAACTGTGGCATCAACAATATGTTTAGCACTTGAAACATCACGCAAATCTGCCTGAATTTTGATCGCATCTGCTGAGGTGCCAAAACCCTTTATTTTTTTCACCAACTGTTCAGTCGCATCAATGCTACTGTTGGAGGTAAAGGTGATGGCTACTTTAGCACCGCGGCGTGCCAAATTTTCAGCTATTGCTGCTCCAATTCCTCGTGAAGCTCCTGTAACGATTGCTACTTTGTTTTGGAGGGGCAAGCTATTTTCTGACATCTTAAATGGGAAAATGGTTTAAGCTCTGAAAGGCTTGCCATTCTGTCTTATATAGACAAAGATTTGTAATATCATCGTATTAGTCATCATAATTTTTTCGTTAATAATCATTCCATGGGTTAGTCCTATCTGTATTTTCTCTAGTAACAAGTAAATTTATGTCACTTATGTTTGCGCGGTGTTAAGTCAATGTGTCACGTTAATAATTCTCACGGCTTATGAAAAAATCAAGCGGAATTAATAACTACAATTGTAGATTTCTATACGTTAATTGGACTTAGTTATACTGCGTATCTAGATGGTAGTAATGTCCAGGGATCTGGTTAACTAAATTGAAAGTAGGAAGACGATCTTATTTAGCCAGACCAGTCGAATCTTCCAATCTGAAGAATTCGACTGTGGATTCATAGTTTATATATCTTCGCTGAAACAACTAACGTAATCTATCTCTTTGTATACCAACTTTCTTTGTCTATAAGACTTCCGTTCCGAAAGGCTTTCCGATTTGTTGAAATCATATTTTCTTTGTTTTGTTTACCATTTGTAATGTTTCATCCTTTAGTCTTATTGCATTTGCTAATATTTAGCAATATGCTCTTATGATAGTGTATTGTAATATATATAATATAAACAAGACACCTATCGTGACAGACAGACATGACAGGCACTTACGAAAGAATATTACCAATCATCATTACTAATCAAGGCAAACTGATAACAATTGTATGTTTGGTATATAAAGGGACGAATCCTTCTAGTGTTGAGAGTACTACTACCCTCTAGAAAATGTCAGAATACAATCTTTCTCTTCAAAACAAAGTAGCAATCGTTACAGGAGCTTCACGAGGAATTGGAGCAGCAATAGCTGAAAATTTGGCACGCCGCGGTGCTAAAGTAGCCATCACCTTTACCTCCAACAGTAGCATTGATGCGACTGAACAGTTGGTGAAAAAAATAAAGGGTTTTGGCACCTCAGCAGATGCGATCAAAATTCAGGCGGACTTGCGTGATGTTTCAAGTGTTAAACACGTTGTTGATGCCACACGTAAAGCCTTTGGTTCCACGATCCATATACTTGTCAACAATGCAGGATACTTAGACGAACCAAAACCTTTAGGAACGACAACAATGGAACAATATAACAATATCTTTGATTTGAATGTCCGTGCAGTCTTTGTCATGACAGAAGCCGTCGCGCCTTATCTTCCCAAAAGTGGGGGTAGAATCATTAATATTGGAAGTATTGCTGGAAGAAAAGCATTTCCTCAGTTTCCCCTATATTGTGGAAGCAAGGCTGCTGTTGAAGGCTTCACAAGATGTTGGGCTGCTGAGTTAGGCCCTCAAGGCCATACGGTAAATCAAGTCAATCCAGGACCTGTTGAGACGGATATGATAAGGGCAATGCCTACCGAAATTACGCAGCTTCAAACAAAAAGCACTCCTTTTGAAAATCGCTTTGGACAGCCTCAAGAAATAGCAGCGATAGTTGGGTTCCTTGCTGAGGATAGTGGTCGGTGGATTACTGGGCAAGTGATTTCAGCTTCTGGTGGAATGGAAATGTATTAAATTTAGATATAAGCAAAGAAAGGAAAAATATAAAATCATAACAAACAATTCAGTTTGTTCCTTTTTTATATTTAATATTACTATCATTCCCATGATCATTTGCAGCTGGAAACGACTTATCTTATAACTGCTTTCCTTATATTTTTTAGGTAAAAACCCATTTAATGGAAGTCATCTCTGGAAGCTTATGCTACAATGGGGCACAATGGCTGTTAATCAATACCTAAAAACAGGAAGCTTTGCCGCGAATTTAGTGATATTTCTGCAAGTGGTAATTTTCTTTATAAAGTTAAGACTCGTTTGTTTATAAATAGAGAACAAAATACGTAAGCTCTTACAAGTTAATGGTTTTAAGAGAATAAAAGCTCTTGTAAGGTGATCGTGACTAGTACGGCAAAAACTTTGGGTTGGGAAGATTTCGTTTTCAAAGTGTACAATGTACAAACTTGTAAGCTTGGAGAATATAAGATCAAAAAAATAAATAAATGAAAAGGTTAGTAAGCGATTGTAGACTAATTATTACATTAAATGAAATCTCATGTAATAGAAAATTTAAAACAAAAAATGCTTACTGTATTTACTCTAATTAGTCAAGTAAACTGTACATGTATTTGAAGATTCCTGCATAGTATAATGTTTCATTTTAAAGTAGGACTTCAAAATTGAATTCCAACCGAAGTGCTCCAAATAGTATTACATATTATTTAATGTTCATAGTATCAAGGAGTATGTATATCACGATTTGATATTAATTGAACTAAGAGTAAACAAAACAATTGGATATAGGGAGTCAAAGACTGATAAGATGCAATTAGTTGAATGAAAGAATTTCAGTAAAGGACTTTTAAATAACTATTCTATAATAGAATATATATTGAGATGCTTTACGGGGAGAAATGTCTCGTTCAAGTGAAAAAACTTCTCCTAACAATCCTCTAATCAATTTAATAGCTAAAATATTTTAAAAGTAGTTACTAAATTCTGTTTCACATTAATAGAAAGTTCCGTTATCGTTCCTGTGACAGTATTATTTTCACGAGCAGATTCCTTATTATGCTATAAAAAATATAGAACTACATTATTTTTCCACATAGAATTTGAAAAATTTAGACTTTCTTTACCTGTTGTACATATAAGCTCAAGATCCATCATATACTTGATCCCTTTTTTACACATCAGTTAATAACCCTATTAAATTAAAACATTAAGCTTCAATTTTTTAAAGCTACATTATTTCTATTTCTAAACATGATAAACTTTATCTTTCTTAAATCGATTTTCCTTTACATTATGCTATTATTCATTTGCTTTACCTTTAAAGAGCCAAAATGTGTAAGAAGAAATAGCCAAGCGACTTTTTAATTTGATTATCTTGAAGTTAAGTAAATTAAAAGGTGTCTAAAATTTACAGTATAGAAATACTACGTATTTAAAAGTAGTGAAAAAGGTTGGATGACTATTAATTTGTTTATTGAGGGTTAAACAAACGTTAGATAATGAAACTAGTTGCATACCTTCTCTGACTCCAAATCTGACCATTCTTAAAGGAACCGAATTTCCAGCTGAAACCAGATTCTTTCAATTTTACTTATTACGATTGGAATTTTGGATGTGTTTAACAAGTAAATTGCTTTCGACTTTACCTTTAGTTCTCTTGAACTTCGCATTTAGTGGAACTGAGAATATTTACATTCAAA